CTCTCTCTGGTCAAATTAAAAATATTAAGAATAATAATGATTAATAAAATTAAATAATTCTTTTTAAAAAATGAAGAGAGCCAGAAATAAACCCTCACATATATTGTCAATTATTATTTTTTCTTTTCTTGGAGAGGTTTTTTTCTTATTGGGTGCATGCGCTTGCCAGAAAGACAGAGATAGAGAGATAGAAAGCGAGAAATCACCCCCTCAGAGGGGATGGCCACGCCATAATCCCCTATCTTCCATTCTCCTCTCGGGATCTTGGGCATGCACACACATGCGTCTGGCATGAGTTTAAGCCACCGGGTCCAGGATTCGAACCACGGTCGACTACATGGGAGTTCAGTGACATAGCCATTACACTAACTGCTGGACCCTATTGTCAATGATCTTTGAAAAGGGTGGCAAGTCCATTCAATGGGGGAAAAGATCTTTTCAATAATGGTTCTGGGGTAGGGGCCAGCAGGTGGCATGGTGATTAAGGACACTGGATTCCCACATGGCCAACCACAGTCCAGTCCTGGATCTGGTGACTTGCTTTCTCACTTTCCCTTTCTCTCTCTCTGGTCAAATTAATAATAATAATAATAATAATAGCACATGGAATTAAATAAATAAATAAAGCTTTTAAAAAATAATGGTTCTGGGAAAACTGGATATACACATGTTGAAAAAATGAAGTTGGACCCCTATTTTATACCATATGCAAAAGTTAACTCGAAACGTTTTTTTCAATATGACATCTGTACCTGTGTATAGCAGTACTTTCTTCTTTTCCTCTCTCTGATCATTCAAGCAACATTTTTATCTAATCAACTTGAATTGAACAATAATATACTCGAATGAACGCATTTGCTTAAGGTGTACAATGTGATGAGTTCTGACAATGGCTTGCAGCCATGAAGCTAGCACCATGAGAGCGAGAACGTTTCCATCTCTCTTAGGCGTTCCCCCCTCCACTCATAGCCCGGATACCTACTGAGCTGCTTTTTGTCACTATAGGTTGTTTGCATTTTGTATAAGAATCAAACATGGTATACTTGTGTGTCTGGCTTGTCTTACTTAGCATAACCAGTCTAAGACTCACTTATGTAGCTGCTTGTATCACTAGTTTATTTTTCATTGATGAATATAGTCTATCATATACCACATTTTTCGTTGATCTGTTAATGGACATCTGGATATACAGTTATAGTGAATAAAGCTGCTATAAAAATCCATGAGCTCGGGAACTGGCAGTTAGCGTAATGGCTATGTCGCTGGACTCCCACATAGTCAACCGCGGTTCGCGTCCCAGACCCGGTGGCTTAAAACTCATGCCAGGCGTGTGTGCGTGTGTGCCCAAGATCCCGAGAGGAGAATGGAG